AATTGATTTTTTTAACCGAAGAAAAAGAAAAAGAAAATAAAAATCTATTTATGCCATCTTCTTCACCACCCAATTTAAGACTTTCGACGTGGCCAATCTCCAACACTATGATTGAAACAAGAAACACCCGAGCGATTCATGGAGTTTTTTTTTTTGGAAGGTCTAAAAATTCAATTATATCTTTCCTAGGAAAGTATGTCCAAATATCACAAAGAATATTTTAAGAGTAAAGGTCATAATGATCCATATTGAGAGAAAAAAAAAATCTTCTTTGGACCCGAATACGTAGATAGTTTTCCGATCATAAGTGATTCCCATGTCTAGCAGTCATGTTCAGGCTACATGACTATCACAGAGTTGCTGTGGTGGTGGTTCGGAGTGGGATAATTATTCTAGATATCTTTAATTGTTGGTATGTTGGTTGAACTGGATTTAGAATTTTTATTTCTCATAAATCTTATCAAGAATTCATAGAATATACTATGGGATGATTTTGGTATTGAAATTGTATAATTTCGCACATCATATGGTATGATTTAATTGGAAGTTATGCCCAAAATCTGACGACAGGAATTGTGATATAGCAATAATTGAAACATTAGTTTTTACCAATTTGTCGATATTATTTACAAAAACTTAAAGAGAAGACGGTCGGATGACAAAGCAAGCAAATTGAATGTTGATTTGACCTTCAGAGAAGTACAACACCGGTAAAGAAGGTTTCTTCCTTTTTTTACTCGTCTGAGTGAACGGAGGGATTTTTTGTCATTTCATAAATTTCCAACATTGACCGAACCTTTCACTTGTCAAAGGGGAAAACTATAGTACTTTCAAAACTCGAGGTACATTTTGTTAAGAGGTCAAAATTCAAGGATAAGATGTAATTTGCCCAAAAATTTTTGTTGCTTTCAAAACTTTATTTTTACTACATTTCAATAATAATATAAAAAAGATATCCGAATCGTGCCATTCGAGGCCCCTTGCAGTTTGCACTAGTTGAACTTTAAGGTATAAATACTAATAAAAAAAATCAGAGTAAGTGCAATTTTATTTTAATCATATGTAGGAAAGTCTTATTTTAAAATTATTATCTTGTTTATTATTAAAAATAATACTCTTTCTACTCTGAAATGACTGTCTGGTTTAACTTTTTATTTCTAGTACAAATCCTATATATAGATGATGAAGTGATGACGTGTTATCCAATTGCTCTCCAATTGATTCATTAACACGTGTTACTTGATTATTGGTCCTTCATTATTTAAAATATATTAGTAAAACCATTAATTTATAACTTTACCATGTATTGAGTTTTTTTTTTTTTTTTTGAGATATGTATTGAGTTAAATTTTTATTAGTGGTTTTCTATTTAAAAATAAGATAACAATATCAATATAATCTCAAATTTTCAAAATTTAAATTTAATCTATGTTATAGAATATATAATTATGATCGAACATAATTAAGTTGAATAAGGTATATATTAAATAAGATTAATATCGTTATCATTATTTTTAATTTGTTACACTTTTACAAAATTAAGGTATTCATATTGACGTCTACATTTGTCCAGTTTTTCTCATCGAAATTGATAAACCAGTTATACCACAATTGTTAGAGATAAACACAACTTAAAATATGTTAATATAATCAATTAAAAAGAATTCCTTAATTAAAAGGATTGATCATCCGATGCTCCTCAAGCCGAAAACATAACCACTATAAATATAACTCCTTTCCACATAAAAGTTACCACAAATCTTTCTCGGGAAAAAAAATATTGATGTCACTCTCTCATTTATCTAAAGACATTATTCATGCGACAAGCGGGTTACTTTTTATTTTTTTCTTCAATTTCGGATCTTTAGTTGGAATGGGTGAAAGGATGTAAGAAAAATTACTTTTCACCCTTTTTCTTCGTTTATTTCAATTTTTGGCTATCTGAGTCTGGATCTGACAAGTTATGTAATGATAGTTACTTGAATCCCACATTGGTGTCGGATGACACTAGTGCTTGGTTTATATGTCCTTGGGTTCTTTCCTCTTTCAAGCTAGCTTTTGAGGTAGGCTCCCCCCAAAAGGCATGACAGGTGGTATCAGAGTTGGTCCTCATCCTTCATGCTGGCCCACAGAAAGGGCTACCTATAAGAAGGGCTACCCGGAGTCACATAGAGTGTGAGCCACCGGAGGAAGGGGCTACCTACGGAGTGAAGCCGCCACGGAAAGAGCTACATGTGTCGGAATGAAGCTGTCTAGAGTGTAGCCGCCGAGACGTCAGAACGGAAGCATGGTGGTATGTAATGATAGTTACTCGAATCCCACATTGGTGTCGGATGACACTGGTTCATGGTTTATATTTCCTTGGGTTCTTCCCCCTTACAAGCTAGTTTTTAAGGTGGGCTTCCCCCAAGAGGCATGACAAGAGGGCTCCGACAAGGGGACCCCATGTCACCTCTTTTATTCGTTATGGCAATGGAGTATTTGACTCGCCTGTTAAAGGAAGTGGCTTCTGATAGGTTTAAATTCCACCCTCAGTGTCAGGAACTTAAGCTTACAAACATCTGCTTCGCAGATGATTTGATGATCTTTTGTGTAGCTGATAGATTTACTATGTAGCGTATTATAAAAAGTGATGCAGGACTTATCCAGAACAACGGGACTGCATGCAAACCCTAGCAAATCAGCTATGTACTATGGTGGAGTTTCAGAGGAATTGAAGAAGGAGATTTGCAGCATTTTGAAGAAGGAGATTTGCAGCATTTCAGGTTTCAGGGAAGATAAGTTCCCCATGAAGTACCTAGGTGTTCTCCTGTCACCTAGGAAGTGGAATCAGACGGAATGCGACATTCTGATCCAAAAAATGACTGCGAAAATACAATGTTGGAGCTCAAGACACCTTAGTTACGTAGGCAGAGTTCAACTAATCAATGCGGTATTGATGGCCATAAACAATTACTGGGCACAAGTAGTCATCCTACCAAAAAGTGTCACACAACAGATCAACAGGGTCTGTTGAAAGTTCTTATGGGGGCATAAGGAAAGGGGTAGAAGCTATTCTCTGATGAGCTGGGATATGGTCTGTAGACCCAAGAAAGAGGGAGGCTTAAATATGAGGGATGCTCAAAAGTGGAATGAAGCAGCTTTAATGAAGCAGATATGGAATTTGGCATGCAAAGAAGACAATTAATGGGTTAGAGGGATACATGACATATACTAAAAGGGAAAGAGTTCTGGAATATAGACTGTAAAAAAGATGCAAGCTGGCATTGTTAACAACTTATGAAGCTGAAAGAAAAGTGTCGAAATGAGTTTGAAGATGACAAATGGTTACACCAAGCATCAAGAAAATACACTATTAAATCAGGCTACTAATGGCTGATGGGAAAATCCACACACTTTGCTGCCTCTCAGTTTGTATGGGCGAGATATTTTGTACCTAAACATTCCTTCATCACTTGGCTGTGCTGGAAAGAAAGGTTATCCACAAAGGAGAGACTGAATAGGTACATTATGCCACCACTAGACCCTACTTGTATTCTTTGTCAATAGCAGCAGGAAACTGTAGGCCATTTATTCTTTGCTTGTAGCTTCTCTCAAGGACTTTTGGCACAAGTTAATCAGTGGTTAGGTGTCTCACTACCTGAATACTGGATGGCTAGAAACGGAGGATCTTGTGTATATGGAGAAAGTCAAGATTGAGAAACCAAATACTTTTTGCTTTTGTCACAAGCCTAATTTACCACCTTTGGGAAGAGAGAAACGGAAGGAGTTTTACAGGAGTGAAGAGGAATAATGAGCAAATTATAGAGTTGATAAAGAAGGAAGTACAGTGGAGAGTGCAATACTGTCTGAAATTGCCTTACTCAGAAAAGGAAAGAAGCATTTTGAATCAATACTTTGTAAATAGTTGACCGATTTTGATAGCATAGAAAGGAATCACAAATGTAATAGAGACATTTTGGTTGTAAATCTAAACTCTAAATGATCATGAATAGATTTACGTTTTTAACCAAAAAAAAAATGACCTGTTATATGGTTCACTCTTTTGAAAATTCATAATCCAAAAACAGATGGTAGACATCTTCTTCTAAACCACATCAGTTGCAAAGCGTAGAGATCTCCAACCCTCTTTTCTTAAAGTTGTGATCATGGATATGCGTTTCTCTATGCCCTTTAGACTAGTAATTACACCTTCTTTGGAACCTTAATTTTTCAAAATCGCTTCAACACAAACTCGGACATATTCTTTGTTATAAAGTTCAAAACTGTTGGTCTCCTTGTTTCAGATTCATTTGTCGCCTTGTAGTAATAGACTTTACGGAGTAAGTTCTCGTATTTGTTTTTATTGTGTGCGTTTTTTAACGAATAGGAATTTGCATATGCATAAACAAATAAATTTAATCTCATTCACACACGCTCTATGCTAAAGTATAAGTCCATTGTTATGTCGTATAAGTAAGGGTTAATCTTACAAAAATAATAGTAATTTTAACTATTAATAACACTCTTTATGAGACAAATGTTAAATGGAAGGATGATGCTAATTAAAACTAATTTAAAATCCACAACCTTTTTTATATGTGTTTTTAGAGAAAAATATTTATCTCTTAAAAGCAATTTCCATACAAAATGAAGTTTCATTTGTTTTTCTAGTGCAGGAAGGAACCGAACCGTGAGATAATTTTAGAGCACACTTATGATTTTCAGTAACAGGTTTTTGTTTACCAACATATTCGTCCTTCATGGTAAGTACAATGTATTTGTTTTAAAAAATGAAAAGTAGAACGTAAAATAAAAAAGGAAACAAAGGTCTACAAGACCTTACACATTTTATTCCCCCAAAAAAAAAAAACCAAAAAAATATTATTAGCACAATTCATATAAACACATGTACCAACAACTACTAGGTCTTTTTGACTAAATTAACCTCGTACCAGATTAACTTACTTTAAATAGTAGTAATTATTCCAGAAATCAATTTAAAATTCCAAAAGTACAACAAATTACCTTTTGCTCTGATCCCGAGTGGAAAACCAACTCAGCAGCACAAGTCAGAGAAACTCATCAGAGTGATCAGAGAGGATCCATACCGAAGCGAGGCAGCAGAGGGAGAGAAGAAGAAGAAGAACACAGAAAGACGGGATATTCGCTTCTTCTCTCTTCCTTCAATCTCTTTTCTTTCCTTCTTCCCTTGAAATTCTTCTCTCCTTTTCTTCTTCTTTCCTTACCAATTTCCGTCATCCTTCATCCTTCATCAGCATCGACTCATTCAATTTGCTGGATTTGGGTCACTCAGTCAATCAGGTAAAAAAAAAAAAAAACAATTTCTTCTTATCTCATCCTTACCCTTTGCTGATTTATTGGCTTTTTCATTGATACTTTCATTAATTCTACTCCGTGATGGGATATCATGATTCTTTTTTTCTTTCCCCCTTTTTTCTTTTCTCGTTCTTCGCATGAATTATGTTGCTTTCTGCTCTTTCTGAATTGGGATTGGATTAGGATTTTAAAATTGGAATTACTTGTTGACTTGCAGTCTAATCACCATCCCTGTTTATGCTTGGCAGTCGAGGACTCATTGTTTAGTATTATTTTTTTCTCATGTAAAATTCATTGTTGTTGTGTTGAGATAAATTTGTATCTTTCTGGTTGTAATATTCATAAAGCTTTTCTTCTAATTTGTTTCAGCGTTGAGGTCCATTTGAGGAGATTTGTGGGCTGTGGCTCTGTCCTTGAGAATTTGGTGCGCTTCCCTTTGTAACACAACTTAGAATCTGGCTCTGAAATGAGGGCCACTTTTAGGCCCTTTAGGCATCTTAGATCAGCCAATAAATACAGAGAATATACCATCTCAAATGGGTTGAGCGGTAGACAGCATTTTGGGGTCTATGGGATCCGGAAAAGCTCGCATTTTTGGATTAATAAGAATGGTGGGTTCGCCTATTCAATGCTCCACTATTCAGATATTTGGAGATGTCAGCGACCGTCTTATGTGATTTCCAGTGCGTTGCATACAGATGCTGCTGCAGTAGCTGATGGAGGTATAAGTCTCACTTCAATTGTGATTGTTCACTTACTAATGCAGGAGGGGAAAAAAATCGAATAACTTGTGCAAATTCGTTCATTTCAAGCTTTTGCTCTTACATTCGTTGGTTTTGTGGATGAATTGGTGTCTTTCAGAGATACTCAGGGGAGGACCTCTTGTGGAGTATGAGCGAAGAATTGCTAATGGTGAACTGGTGGATGGAGATATTTGTCAGGTTAGTAAATGACTTCAACACCGTGGCCTTTTCTTTCAGGGGTTTTGCATATACCCTGCTCTTTGTGTCTTCATATAAGTAGTAGTTAAAGGTGCAAGACTTTTGGCTTTTGGAATTTGCGCATTGTGGGTATGCTTGTTTATTTCTTGAACTCTTATGACCTTCTTGCATTTAACAAATCATTACGAATTTGCTGGGGATTGTCCAGTGCCTAATCTTAGCTATCAAAAATTTTGTAATTTGCTGCATTGAACTAATCACACTGGCTATACATATTTGTAATACTCAATTTTGTTTAGCTTGTGAACCACACATTTTTTTGAAAAGGTACAGAAATCATGCAAAAACCAGTTGATCTCTGCATAATTATCCCTAGGTTAACCTTTGCTGTGTTATTGTCAAACACTGACAAATTATTTTGCAGTTAGGAACACTAAAAGAGCTTCAGAGACTCTATGATGAGCTGGTTGAGAAAGCTGATGTCTGCAAGCTTGATCGATATATGACTTCTGAGAAAGCAGGGAGGTAAATTTGTTAAGCTTGCTAGATTTCATCAATTTATCAGCAGCAACATATATGTACTATTTGCAATTACGTTTCCTAAATTCTTAATTTAGGATATTATGTCTAGCAACGTAGCATTTTGTCACATTTTTTAAATTTTTATTTCAGGAGCAGGTGGTTATGGTCGCGTTTCATACCACAGTCTTCATATTCTCCAGTTAAAGGGCTCTATCTTTACGGAGGTGTTGGCACAGGCAAAACTATGTTAATGGACTTGTTTTTTGATCAGTTGTAAGAAGAAATAACACCTTGTTTTAATGTTGGCAAGAAAGAACTTGCGTGTGTGTGTGTGTGTATATATATATATATATGTATATTCTTGTACATGTAATGACATTTATAATGATTGTTTCTCTTTTTTTCAGACCTAGCAATTGGAGGAAGAAAAGAATTCATTTTCACGACTTCATGCTCAATGTGCACAGCCGCTTGCAAGTATGATTCATTGTCCTGTTTTGTTGTGAAAAGCATCTCATGGTTCATCATTAAGGCTTCTGATATTGCATTTCTTGCAGATATATCAATGAACTAGTGGTCAATGGTTACGTGGGGTCATTGATAAATTTTGCTGTTGAAAATTTTCAATTACAGCTCAGTGACTAGTATGCTCACTGCATTCAATACTTTTTTTCCTTTTTTTTTTTTTTCATTTTCCTGCATCCCAATGTTTTGATGTTCAAATCCTCTTTATTTCCTGTTTTGAATTAATACCCAATGTTCGACTTCCTGAAATATGAACATTAAAGATCTCAACATGTTAGAACTAACTCGATAGTACTACATGTTGAAATTTGTCTTGGTTCAGGCATTAATTTGTTGGTTGTGGAGTAGAGTAATATTCATCTTTTTCTTTCTCTTTTCTAAATACCTCTTTGTTTCAGAAGCACAAAGGTGTGTCAGATCCTTTGGAAGTCGTTGCAGGAGAAATAGCGGACGAATCAATTTTGTTATGTCTTGATGAATTCATGGTAAACAAACGTTGGTGTGTCTGGTCGTATTATTTATTTTTGTCTACCAATAGGAGTGACTGGGATCGGTAGTGTTCTTTTCTACCATACCTCTATCTTCTGTGCCTGAATCTTTTTCTCAAATTTTATTCAGGTTACAGACGTTGCTGATGCACTAATTCTTAATCGTTTGTTTAAACATTTATTCAGCAATGGATGTGTAAGTTGTTCTAGTGACACTGTTCTATGTAGACTGTTTTCCTCAATCATTTGTTAGTAGAAAGTAACTAACAGCTTCGTATTTTTTGTTTTTGGTGGAACAAGTTCAGATCCTTGTTTCCACATCAAACCGTGCTCCAGATAATCTTTATGAAGGTGGCCTGCAAAGGGATCTTTTTCTGCCATTCATCGCTACTCTGAAGGTATATGTTAACAGTTATAGCATTTATAAGTGAAGAATGCCAAATTATGCTTTGTACAAATTCAAATAATTGGAATGTTCATGCTATCATTCGTATATCTTTGAGTTATTGGTTTCGCATACTATAATCTCATCTATCTCAAGCTTAACTTTCAGTTTCACTTATATATGCATTTTAGTTTTACTTTATTTCGGTTCTAGTTGTTCTTCCCGTCATACATATCAATTTTTCTCTTGTCATAAGCTATTGAACTAGCTAGTAATTTTTCTCTTGTTATTTCGAGGCAGGAGAGATGTGTGGTTCATGAAATAGGATCATCAGTAGACTACCGCAAGATGACTTCGGTGAAGTGACTCTTCCCTCCTAATTTTATGTTCATATCAATTTTTTTATGTAGAATTGGAGGCTGGTTTGAATCATGCCTACACTATTGTAATTTATTGGCTAAATAATTTCTCTTGAAGTACAGGTGCAGCAAGGTTTCTACTTTATTGGGAAAGACTTGTCCTCCTTTCTCAAGCAAAAGTTTCACGAGTTGATTGGTGAAGAGAGACCTGTTCCACAAGTGGTGGAGGTAGTGATGGGGAGGACTCTGCATGTATGTACTGTACTTTATGTGCATTGGACTTGTTGAGATGGATGACTAGTATGGTCTGTGTGATTCTCAATGTTTTATGTATGTGTTGTGAATGTCCAGGTTCCTCTAGGTGCCAATGGTTGTGCCTACTTCCCTTTTGAAGAGCTCTGTGATAGACCTCTAGGTGCAGCGGATTATTTTGGATTGTTTAGTGAGTCAATGAAACCCCCTTCCCCTTCTCTCTCTCTCTCTCTCTCTCTCTGTGTGGAAATAGTTTAGTTGCACAACTTCTTCAATTTCCAGTTTAGTTGTACTTTTGATGAACTCTTAATTGAATCCGATTATTTTTACCAGAGAAATTTCACACTCTTGCTTTGGATGGCGTGCCAGTTTTTGGACTCTCCAACAGGACTGCTGCATACCGGTTTGTCACCTTGGTTGATGTTAGTCCTTTTTCCTTTTAGGAGATGTTGATTTAGTCTTCAGTAATTGGTTGGACTATGCATATCGTCTGGATCCGACAATTTGTCTAAATTCCTATCTTCTATGGCTAAAGTACGGCATCTAGGGACTAAAATAATATCTTCTACAACACAAACTCTTAAGTTAAAGAATTCAATTGGAACAGGTGATGTATGAAAATAGAGCTAGACTGCTGTGCACGGCTGAGGGGAGTCCAATGGAGCTTTTTGAGAAGATAATGACTATTGCTGATGCCCAGCAAATGTCACCCAGAACATCATCTAGATCAAGGAAAAGCGATGTTTCGGACCTTTGTGTGGACAATGAGCTTGGATTTGCAAAGGATCGCACTATTAGCAGGTAGATAGTTTTGTCATAAATCCATGTGTAAAGCGAGTATCTGCATGTTCTTTGTATGATATTCTATGACCACTCTGTTACATCAGAATGCTACCAGAGTTCTCTGTTCTATCTGTGACTGAAGTGTGGATTTGCTCTTTTGAAATACTTCAGGTTGACAGAGATGAACAGCAAGGAGTATCTAGAGCAACACGCTGCAATGTTGGTGGACAAGCCACGTTGGCGCTAAGGTCGCAGCAGGATAAATACTCGAGGGTTAATGCACTGACATTGTTTTGTAAAACCCTCCTGCGACTGGGAGCTGCTGTTGTGTGTAAATCATACAATCATGGTGACTGTTGTATACGTCTAACCTCAGAAAGTACATTCTGATGAAAATCCTTCATTGTTTAATAAGGTTCATCATCTGATAACTTATTTATCAGTAACATCATTTCCAGAAACCATATTCTCAAGCCCAATTTATCACCGTTTCTATGTATTTGCAAACGGGGAATGAGAATTATTGCGGCTGTCATCCCCAAAATTGAGTCAACAAAGAGGGTTTTCTTCAACCGGTGAGATTTTAACTAATTGCGGCAATAGATGGGACGCCTAAATTACTACTACTTGTTTCAAGACAAGTAACTTTGGATTATTTAGTGGCATTTTGAAATCAAATAAAAACAATATTGCTTGTAAAAAAGTTCATTCTGTTCTGAGAATAGAAGAAATATGGTGATGATATATTTTCAAAATGCACACCAATCTAAGACACAGGACCAACACTTCTACTACTCCTTTTCGCATAATAGGTTGGATCTTTTTTATGAAAGTATGAAACAATTCTGTCCATTCTGATGATATATTTACTTCAAGAAAGGCTTTAGATGCAAACTATTTGAATATGATTGAATTTCCCCAATTTCATCCCCTCGTTTTTTCTTTTTTCCCCAATGGTGTTGGTTGGGGGAAAAGGACTTTTTTTCATCATCAGCTTGATAAAACTACTTAAGACTTTCTTAGTTCTTTCTCCAGAAAAGAAAACCATCAAGTATCAGGCACAACTTTCACAGTAACGCTGCTGGTAAAATACATTTCATGATTACACACAGCAGAAACACAATTGAAACTGTCCTCTGAAATTGGAGACAAACAGTTAACGGAAGAGGGTGATGGAGATTTTGGAGGGAACCCGGAGTTGTATTACAAAATGCACAAAACTTATCTATGTTACAAAGGATAAACAAAGGCAATTGTTACAATCAATAACAGTCTAACCAAATTAGATGCTGCATGAACGAATATTTCCAAATCCTCAGATTGAACGTCATAATGTTGCAAACCAACTTACAAAAGAACCAACGGAGTTGTATAAGAGCGTTTTACTCATCGATCGACAAGGTTTTCTTATGCTTTCCATGTCTGTCTTTAACCTTCTCAGATTTGCCGTTGCTGCTGTTCTGATTACTCACAGACCCTTCCTGAGCACTACACATTTGAGACTTCATTCTAAATCCAAACTTCTTTGACACGTTACCCCAGGTGCTAGATCCCTTGCCACGTCCTAATTTCTCAATTTCCTGCCTCATGCTTGAACATTCCTTCTCAAGCTCGGAAACCCGCATCCTCATGTTGTCCATTCCCACTTTTAATACTTGATTTTCCCTGACAGCTGTTGCCCAACCTCCTTCATTCTGTCCCACCATACCACTTCGGAATTGTCTTGATCCACCATCAAGGTTATCTGAGACCAGAAAACATCCAGCGATTGAGGTCCTTAATTGTAGCTGCTCGAAGAAAAGAACCTGGACTATGATTCGTAATGGAAGTCGCTCATTCTGAGCAGCATGGGTACAAGCTTCCAAGGAGAGTTTCTGGCAGTCCATCAGCCTACAGAGTTGTTCTCTATCAGACTCAGCCAACCATGGATGCGACTGAAAGCAGGAAACAGAAAAAAGGATTAGTAGGTAAGACCGATACAAAAAATATGCAGACGGAATAGCTTTCAAATCTTTTAGTAGTCTCCCAATTAGAATGGTTTAGAGTTGGGAAAGTTATGATATGTTCTTTTTGGTTCTTATAATTTCATGAGTATCATGGGTTGAATGAAACACCCTAGGGAATGAATCTAGACATGAAAGCTATCAAAATTCTAGGTTCTCTAAAGAACCTACAATCATGCCCATCAATTACCAGTTCCACAAGTGTTGAGCAGGATGCGAGACTTGTATTTACCTAAAAGGTAGAACCTTTTTTTTTTTTTTTTGGGCCTTTGAGATTATATATTAAAAGGTAACCTACAGTAGGGCAAATTGGAACGGAAAAATAATTATAAATTGAGAGGTTCTGACAATGAACCAGTGAAGTTAATTTACCTTTAAATAAATGTCAATTGCACGATAAAGGCCATCATCAAGGGGTCTGGCATACTCAGGAACAGCAGCTGCAAGTGACTGAAACTTGGGTAGCTTCAGGTTGACATCTGGGGCAACCTCAGCGAGGAAACCATCAATCAGCTTAGCAACCATAGTAATTGGTGTCAGTGAGGGCGATCCCATCAATTGACCATCATCAACAGAACCAGGTGATGCACCCCCAGTAACTTGATCCATTGCCAAGAAATGCTCAAGTATTCTTTGCACACAATCAACATCATACAAAGTCTCCATCGAATGAGTAAAGTTGGGCATTAAGAGATCCTCAAGAGATGCCTGATCAAGCTGCATCCCTATTCTTTTCTCCAGGTTTGATATACAAGAGGGGCTTGCATGAAGAATCTTGGCGGTTCGAAGCAGCCCAAAAAGGAATTTAGTTGACACGAGGCCTTTTTGCATTGGCAATAAGCTATCAACATCTTCAAGTAAAAGCTTCTGCTCATCTTCAGTAAGAGAAGATCCCAAACCTCCAGATGCAAGACGGGTACTAGACTCACTAGAACTCTGGCGCCGGTTCAGCCCAGGCAGATATCTTTTAGCATAGGAACTTAAGGAACCAGAGAGAACATCTTGTTTGATACCCCGAGATTCCATGGCAGAAACCAACCGTTTGTAAAGAGGTAAACTGAGAGTTGATACATCTTCGTACCACCAATCTGAACTAGTGTGTTTTGGCCTAGCCCCAGTACTGATTCCATTCCACAAGACACTGCCACCAGGACTCTGCATTGGACCACCATGCTCCATGATTGGCCAACCGAAAAGATTGGGGTCAGTTGATGCTTTTGCAGCAAGTGATTCTATGCATCTTTTTGTGATATGGAGTTCTTCAGCATACGGGAGAACATCATCACAGGTCTGGAGGGCTCTCAAGGAGTCTTTCCAGGTTTTCAGAACAACTTGATTAAGAAACATTTCCGACAGTGAAATGAGGTTGCCCTCTCCATATTCTTCTGTCATTTCAAGGTACTCAGCAGCACATCGAAGATATACAACATTGGATGCAGTCAATTCAAGCTTTACTCCATAGCAAAATTTTGCAACCAGCTCAAATGTTTTAGCCCCACCAGGAATATCCGGCAGTTTAATTGTACGATCTCCTTCTCCTTCATCAGATGCTTCAGCAATCAGTCTTTCTATAACCCCACTTCTTGAAAGCAATGGGAACTGCAGCAGAAGATGCAACAAGTGCAAATACAAAGAGCTTCAACTAAATTTCTTTATGACCAATGATAAAGGCATATTTCTTTATCAAAGAAAGGTCCTTCATTGAGTAAATACAAACTAATACTAAAAGAAGAAGGAAGAGAATTTGTAAAATTAAATGACATGTATGCAAGATTGGTGTTTCGTAACAACATTCTTTGGTTTTATAACCAATGTTTTCAGTCTGGTTGTGTTGCTCTCGGAAAACACAATACGAAAGGGAAGTTAACGGCTAACATCTGATGAGCAATAAGTAAACTTCAAGATGAACCCAACCAATCAAATGTTGTGTTTCTTTGCACATTTTAACAGAAATCATCAAAGGAAGCAGGTGTTGAAAGTAGCTAAACCCAAAGCACAAATGAAACTACTAAATACCTACAAACAGATTAACTCTACAAGCTTCTATTGGGAGACATTTCTACGTTGTAGACATCACTCCAATAACTTATTCTAAACCCTACAAAGTTAATGAAACATATTGCTGTGTTGTAAATACCATGTCATCCTTCATCCTTGAAGAAATAGAGGTGAAGCATGTTCTCAACAAGGCAAAAGGATTATGTAATGGTAGAACTAGTCATGCACTCTTCAAGTGCATGAAGCATCCAAGGAAAACGACATCATTCGAATTCCAGAAATTTGATGCACAACTTGACCAACAACAAAACAGACTAAGCAATGAAGCAGACCATTTGCTTACCTTATGGAGATGGAATGACATTTCCCCAACTTCAACAACTATATCACTAGGTAAACCAGTTGTGCAGAACCTGATAAGACAGGAAATGACCACAATTTGTAAGTGCACATCTAGTCCCAACTTCTAAGAACAATCCTACTTCTTGAAATTTGGCAGCAGAAAATAATGAAGAATTGAAACTTAAGTCTAAAGTACAAGCAACACAAATGTACCTAAGCTCATTTGGCTTCAAAAAAATTCACATAGTTCAAAACAGTTTGTCACCCTTTCAAGATAGTGAAGAAAGCATGGATGTACTTTATCACCTTATATTGTCCAGGTAACATTCAATACCACTTTACAGCATTGACGATAAAAAAAAAAAAATCACAATTTTGACAATGAAATAAGAAATACAGCACAAACAGTCAGAAATTACTGGCTTGAACTGCCCTCCAAAGGGAACAACCAAGTCAAGACCTCAATAGAATCCAATTTTTGGCTTGCATAACCTAAAAAAAAAGTTGGGATAAAGAAATACAAGAAGCCTTTAATAAGATCGGAGATCGCATGTAAATTTATGCATAGTTACACTGGTGTCCCAGATCAAGAAGAAACGAACTTCTCAGGCAAAAACACACATACAGAGAGCAATATGCAAGGCAGACAGCCAACATACGAAACATTTCAGATAAAAAACTGGACAGGGAAATAGAGAATGGGAAACCATACCAAGCCTGGCCTTGCCTCTGGAAAGCATCGCTTTTGGATCCCAGCTTCATACAAGCCATTTCTGGAAAACACTAAGAAAAGAACAGAACTGGCAGCACAAGCTTCAGGAACTATAATTAGACCTGATTACAGAACTAAAACCTAAATTGAACTCATTTCTTTCCCTATCAAAATCTGCACCGACTTTCACCTATGCATTTCCCGATCTCAGTGCACTTCTAATTTCAATCCAGAACCACCTATTTTTGGAAACTAAGCTCAATTCCCTGAGAGCCAACAGTAAATATCAAATGCACCTTCCTTATGAGCGAGGACTGAAAATTGCCGAAACCCCACAGGCGAAAGCGTACCCCAAATGAAATTACCTAATCTGTCCAACAAAACTCAACGAACCCCACTCCAAAACAATAAACCCAACAAGAAACTGAACCCACAATCTCCGTCCTGAAACTCAAGAAAATCCCAAAATTGATAAATTATAATTTCCAACCCAGGAAAAAAAACACAAGCTTTAGGTCAACCCTTCTCAATTCCAATGTTATTATAAACAACCCATTTGCTCTGACACAGCCCACTGTCAAAGAGTGCCCACTCCAACCACCAGAAGATTCCAAATTCCAGCCCTTTGTATCCAAAACCTTCTTATAACTAGAGTGAAGTACAATGACCACACAAGGGACCTAATTAACATAGATATTATAATGCATTAAAAAGGTCATTAGCTTGGGAAACGGAATAAGGGTCATCATTAATGGAGTAACAGCACGTTTGAAGCACACACACACATAGAGAGAAAAAAAACCTTCAGGCTTCAGCTACTCATCATTTCGCATGTGCTCCTTTCTTAAAAGTTACTCATTTTCCCCCCTAGAGTCAAGAGCCAAAATGGGTTCTAATTCTAAAGAATTTCTCTTTTGGTTGGGAACCAAATAAACAAAAACAAAAAAAAACCATTTTTACTGTTGGGACTTCGAGCATTATAAATTCTGGAATAAATTGTGTGTGTGAGTGTGTGTGAATCAAAGAAAGAAAATGTCAGTGCAAAGATGGAAAGTTCCAATATTTATTAATATTAAATAAATGAGGAGTGAGAAGAAAGACTGAATGACCTTCTTCTCTCAGAAAGTAACTGCTACTACAAAGAAACATGATGTTGGGTTTATCCAGCTAGGCCATGTGGAGGACTTCCTGCTTTTAGGCTTTTTTTTCTTTTTCTTTTTCCTTTTCTTATCATTTTGCATTCTTTCACGTCATTGAATATTTCCTCCGATCAAAACAAACAAATGGGTCAGATTCATTTATTCATCGTCTCTTCATATCATTATCATCATATTCATTACACTTTTATGCCGATTTTGTTTTTTGTTATGATAAGGACCTTAAGGGGATAAGATTATATAAGACATTTTGTATTTGTTTTAGGTTCAGTTAGTACGTATTTTTAATTGACAAAAAAATCTTGAAAATATATTTTCATATTTGATACATTTTTTAATTGTTATGAAATAATTTTAAGATTTTTTACTAATGAAAAATACGTACTAAGTTAAACATAAGACAAATTAAAATGTCTTATATTAAAGACCGGAGAGAGTACAGTGTAAACTAAAATAACACAATCAATAGATTGAGTTGGTGAGGATGAAAGAAGGGATGATAATGGAATTTGATTGGTTGGGGTATTTAATCAAAGGAGAAATTATTGTAGCTTATTAAACAAGATGGGGAAAAAATTTGGTGATTATTTGTCCTGTGATTGAAAATAATTGATTTTTCAAGTTCAAAGAGACACTCAATACACATAAATTGTTTGTGAAGGATAAGGATTTCATATGAACAGAAAAAAGGGAGGAAAAAAAAAAAGAAAAATGAAACCAACGTCTCTAATGTGTAAAAATAGAATAATAATGATACGGTTAAAAGTATTCAGGTGTGACCAAAAAATAGCAGATTCTTCCCGATTGTATGACTGGAAAATGCATCTTTCAAAAGAACATGCTTAACAGAATCATACTTCGTTTTGTCATGTTGAACAAATTCAATTTAACAAGTTGATTTTTCATAGATGAAGTACTATGTCATTGTATAAACGAATAGATTTTTTTATGAGAAAAATTGTTTAACCACTATTTCTAGTACTTAGATAGGAGTTATAATTATTGTAAAACAATTTCCCTCGCTCCCAACAAAATAGTCTACATTGAGTTTTGAGATTTGTACTAGTTTTATTGCAAATTTAAAAAATCAATGTGAACTATTTCTCTGGAGCAGAGAGAGTATTTGATAGTTAATTTCTTAGTTTATTTTTTACTAATACGAGTTTTCAGCATAAACACAAAATACAGTAAAACTACTATAAATTAATATACTTGGACTTTACAAAATTTTATTGATTTGTAAAGCTATTAATTTATCAATAAATTAATAATTAATAATTTATTTATTAATTTGACCAGTTTTTTTTTCCATCCTCTTAACAAAAGTTGCCAAAATTTGTTATTTTCATAAGGACAAAAGTCATTCGCAACCCCATTTTTATATCATTATAATTTTTGTAATGGAACAAAAAGATGATAATCGCAGACATGAAAAAAAAATTAAGTTAAAATATAAGATATCTTAAAATTGATAGGGCCTAAAAAATTATAATTTCGTTAATTAATCAATTTCTTATTTTTTGTATTGATCTTGCGTCGGGATCGGAAAAGTTTATTATTTTAAAGAAAATTTTAATTTGTAAAGAATTAATTTATGGAGGTTTTACTGTATAATCTTTCTTCTCGATAAAGTGTTTGGAAACTAAATAACGTATACTCTATTTATCCTTTTAAAAAAGTTCATATTGATTTTGAAAATTTATACTAATTTTAATATAATTATCAAAATTCAATTTATATCATTATTTGGTATACCAGGAATAGAATCAAGTGAATTATTAAAATAGAATGTATAAATATAATGGATATAATAATTGTTACAAGGAAAATTTTATAAGGAAAAACAATAAGAAATGTTCATAATTATTCATTTTTATACTTTTCATTTAAAGGTTTAAACATTCAAGGTTAGTGGATAGTTTTTGATGATTGACATACGTAAATTTTTCTTACATACGAATTGCTACTACTCAAATAATATAATTTATTTTGTGAGCAAAAGAATGCGGCTTCAAAGTTTTAGGAACTGCATGCATGAATGAAGGAGCTTTTGCTTTACAAGGATTCGTTGTTTAGTTTGGCAGTGCAAAACATAATGATTATTCCGACCAAAACGGTTGGCCCTAACCTTTTTCTCTTTTCTCTTTGTTTCTTTTTTGGTTTCTTTATTTCTTCTATGTACAAAAGAAAAAAAAATATTAAAGCATGAAATTAACATATACAATTTTGTTCATTTGATGATTACAAATGCCGATGTCTAAAGGAGAAACAAAAATTGGCGATATTAATTCTGTTTTGTTATACAACTATAATTGTTGGGGATCGTTCACTTTAATTTTTAATTTTGCTAATTGGTGAGAGGAAAAGTAATTCTTTTAGTGTAAAAAATAGAGTATAATCACTAATAACTGTCAAAAATAACACTAATTATTGGTTGAAAAACTCAAATAGTAGACCTATTAAGTATATAACTAAATCATGTCGGACTATGCCTCCCAAATCGGCAAACACACCAAGCCTGTAAACATATGGATAAATCGCCCCAAATAAGTACTTCCTTTTTTTAAAAAAAAATAGGGGAAAATTAAGGCATACCTAAAGAACGAGAAACTACTATAAAAATTCAACTCCCTACGTCACTTTCTACTCCATATTTCAATTTCTATTTACAAATTTTTATGATAATATTTACAACATTATGAATTCACATTCACATTTATTATAGTTAATTTTAACATTATCTTTTATTTTTTCTACTATTCCTATTTTCTTTTTAGATTTATAGATATTTTTAACAATTTAAATAATTTTTTTTCAAATAAACGGAAAACTTAAATCCGTAAGAGTAAAATTATAATAATACAGATATTATTAATGTGACAAATACTGATAAAAACTGTGATACTTACATTAAATCATTTAGACGTGGAGTATAAAGAGATGCAAAGTAGCGTAGGAAATCCATGCCTAAAGATTGAATGGATTCTAGAACATGATCATAGGGGATCAGTATGTAGGTCTTGTGCTAGTAACAAGTAATAGTCACATACTTAGATGAGTTAAACGCGCTTTGCACTTATCAAAAATACAAGACATTGTATGAACTAGGAAAAAAAAAGCACTTTTAGTCCCCTGCAAATACCGAAGTTCCACTTTTAGTCACTAATGAATAACCACTCTCAAAATTAATCACTTGTAAATCAAATACAATCCCAAATAGTAAGAATTACCTGCTATAAACAATCAACTGGTAAACCTAATATCTTTTCTACTATTTTTCTAAAACACTAGGCCCACGAACATGATAGGCTAATTTGTTTTCTCTTAAAAAAATTCAAGCAGACAGAGCATGAAGGTAACAACTTAGAAAAGAATGCAGGGAAATAAATAGAGTAAGGGAGCCTGGAGATCCTCCTCTCTTCCTATGTTACTTCTACAGTGATTATGCATCTGTGTCGTACAAAGTGTGTTCGATCAGACGCTAATATACCCCTACATCCTACAGATATTCTTAAGGAAATCCTTCCAGTAACTAACAAGCTCCATTCTAGGTAAAGTGTTTAAGTCCTATTAGGCCACTAAAAGTTAGAATCTTATTAGTCGTCTTGTACCAACTAGGAATCTTCTGATCTTAGTTGAAATCTTAAACTGTTACCTCTAAGTCACCAACCAATTTTAGTTGTTCTAAACTGAGTTTACTCTTTCGAGATTCCTCCCAGTATACATGCACAAGTGCTTAGTTGACTAGATTACACATAAGATTAATTTAAACACTAAAATTGGCAACACTTACATCATCTGAATACAAATATAAAGTATTTTCACATAGATAGAGGGATTCAACCCCAGCAAAACATTTAGCTACTCATAATCAATATTTTGAATACAAGATTCATGTAAAATTGAGCATAAAACATGATTACAAGGCGGGAAGCAAACAGACTGTAAAAGATTCAAACTTTGAACGAACAATAGATTACTCAGGCGAGTTAGAATGCCACTCACGTGAGTGTTTGTCTCTGATATACTGCCTAAGCTACTCTGTTGCAGAGCTCTTGCCTAACACTTTACTCAGCTAAACCCTAAACTTACTATACTAAACTACGCCTCTTTCTCCCCCTATTCGCAAATGGCCATTGCTTCTCCTTTTATAGGCAACAATAGCTCGCAATTGCCCTTGAGATTCAGCCATGTACGCCAGCTACTAAGGGGATCTTGGACGTCGTTTTTCAGTTTGCCTCTTCAGGCGTGATTCCAGCTACTCTATCTTGTCATTTTGCTGATTCTTCAGGACCACATCAGCTACCTAGGGTAGCTCTTCCTTCCCTACTATGGTTTGTACCAAAGGGATAAGAATTGAGCCAAGGAAATGGTACCGAAATTGCCTCCTTGAAATAACTTTCCTCTAAAGTGGTCCTGGAAATGTTCCTTGATTTTGCATTTTCAGTCAAATCTTTGAACTTCTGACTATTTATAATTTAGTCCCTGATCAGAGGAAAGCGCAGATATCACTTAATAGTATACAATTCTAATATAAATTTATCTGAATTACAAGGGAAAAAAGACTAAAAGTAATGCTCATAACCATGTATATTTGACACTCATCATTTTCCCAATCTATCTCCTGAATATACGGTTCTTTTAATAGCATCATGTCTCTTGATGTGGTCGTAGGAGTGGAAGGGAGAAATATATACATATATAGGGGGTGAGCGTCGAGGTCAATGAGATTCTCACCATACTATTACGATAATAATTTGTTTTATTGGGAACACTATTGATGTAAAAATTATTCTGGCCAAGAGTGTAACTGGCAAAACAGACTCTAACACACAAATCAATATAGATCTTACTTGTAATCATGCGAAGACTTGTCGAAAGACTCGATTTCTTGCCCAAACTAAAACAAAACAAACAAAGAAACACAAAGGAGTTAGAGCCACAAAAACTCTAACAAAAATTAATGGAAAGATCAAAAAGAAGAAAGTGATGTTGATGCAACCAAAGAGTAAGGTCTCTAACAACCCTTGCTTAAAGATTTTGATGATGATGGATAGATGTGTTCCCGTGTAATGACACCTCAAAAACT